ACACACACACACACACACACACACACACACACACACACACACACCCCTGGGGAAACCCCGACAGCACACACTCGATCATTAAGGTAAACTCTGCACTCGTCTGCTCTTCCTGTTTCCTGTGACAGGCGCTGTTTAGCAGATTACAGGCCGCCGAGGGTCACATGATCACACGTTTGTCTGTTTCCTGTCTGATTACAGTCAGGCTGCTCCTCCAGCTGCTGCCACATCTGCACCATGAGCTCAGGTAGCTTCCAGGTGTTGAGGCTGAAGGTGTTATTCCCACACATGAGACAAAGGCAGCAGCATTTATCAGTGTGGAACACGCACAGTTATCCACAGTAATCCCAGAAAAACGTTCCAGCTTTGGAATGTTGTGGAAACTGCATGCTGATCCTGGGAAAGGGCAGGACATTTCTAATCTGTCTGAAACGCCCGATAACACCTGCGAGCGGTTTCTGTGGAGACAGACGCTCCCGGCTCAGAGGAACCTGCAGGATGAGGAGTGCTGGTTTGTTCAGCCAGCACCGCCCCGGACGCCGAGAGGCAGATAAGCGCTCGCTGAGAGTCCGTCTGGACCTCTGCTCTCCGTTATCTGGGACAAAGTTCACACGTGTCACATGTTACACGCTAGGATTAAGTGGGGGGGTTGTTCTCACACCAGAGCAGCATTTAAAATAACAAGACAGGTAAGTTATTAAGAACAGTCTGTATGTTTGTGAGCGTGCTCAGGAGGCGGAGCCTCACACCTAGAACAGAAACAGCTGTTTCCGTTTTTACAGAGAGACGCCTTTCCTGTGACGGCGGCTCCGGGCCGACCCTCGGCGACCTCCGGCGACCTCACTGATACCCGTGTTGGTCTTTGTTAAATATAACTGCAGCTCTGATAACAGACGGCGCTCTCGTGTACACATCAGACGCTGAGCGCCACACGATGTAGTCATTTAACCTTTGACCACTCAAAAACACACCTGAAGTCTACAGGTGAGGCTCTGTATGATGAGGCTCCACAGACACAAACACGGGTGTGCCGTGGGCCCCCCATTGTCACCGACTGGAGCCAGCCTGGAGGAAACAGCTGGTACAGATCCTTCCCTGCTCACATCAGCTCAGTGGGTGGAGACACACAGACCTCCTCTGTGACTCCCACCAGCCTCCACCACACCTGGACCCTACGACACCGGGCAGAACACGAGGAGCACATGGGCGGGGCTGCCGTCACCGCGGACGAGCGGCAGAGTGAAAAGCCCCGCGAGGACGTTCTTAATTAGAAAAGCTTCACGCACACGGACCCACGAGGTCACCTGACCCCACGCAGGAAGCACATTTCTCTGCAGGGGTCACGACCCCGTGTGTGCGTGTTTGCACGCACTCACGTTCACACTCGTTGGCACTGTAGGTCGTGGCTGGTTTCCATGCCAACTGGTGGTATCCAGGGCAACACTGGTCACAAGATACGCCGCAGGTGTGATGCTGACAGTCGCACTGCAACCTGTAAACAACAGAGTGAAAGGGTTAATGCACACACAC